GTTTGTTAATTTATCCTCTTAGTTTTAATTAGGAATATTAATTAACCTTTTAATCGTGGTCATTCGAGACACAATAGAAGAATAATAGGTGCGCGAACGCCGGCGTTCGCTTAGGGTTTGGTGAATTACGTACTTAGCACTATAATGTACCGTGGCTTGGAGCAGAAAAGGTACAGTGTAGTTTTTAGTCTCTGACACTCCCTCTCTCCCCACCCAGGGGAATAGAAAAGAGAAAGACTCCACACTCCGACCAGTTATTCGATTTTCTCGAGTTTGGGCTCATTCCGATAAAGTTCGATAGAACAGGCTTGGTGTACACCAATACGGTAGCCTAGTAGCTAGCATTTTTATGGTGTAGGTCGGCAAACGAGCAAATTGATAGGATTTGGAGAATTGATAGGATTACCTGATGGTAAGCATCAGGTAATCCGACACTTCGTGTGCATTAGTTTTTAAGTTTTTTATGTAACATATGTATTAGTTTATGATTTAATGTTATAATATATTTATGTATTGTATTCTCTATGGGCCTCAGATGCCTGACTTAAATAAATAAAATAAATAAGCAATCAGCGCCGCCCATGGACACCCGCAACACCAAAGGAGTTACAAGTGCGTTGCCAGCCTTTTAGGGATAAGGGTTTTGGATATTTAAGGATTGAGAAGGGATGGGGAAGGGAAGGGATTAGGCCTCCGCTAACCTCACTCACACGGAGAAACACAACGCTGTAGTTCTTTCACGCCGATTTTATGTGAGGTCATCAGTTCGGTCGAGCAGACCCACTCGTGCTGAAGTGTGGAAGCTAGGTATATAGATCCGGATTATTATTTGTAGTAATTGGAAAACTCAGCTTTTTTTTAATCAAAACCTTCTCCAATGTCATAATCTAATTAGAAAGCCACACAAATGTCAAGTATTAATAAATCGAGACAAATATTAATTTGGAATCCTTGTCTTATGTAAATGTTTATTACATAATAATAGCTTAATTAATAACAATTCCTATTAATAACTAAATGACCTATCAATTTAAAGTTCACAAGTCTATCACGCTGTGGTTTAGTGCATTCTGGTAAATAGTCGTTCGAATTATTTTTATTTTAAATCGTTTTTCAAATAAGGAACACGTGCTTCTATTATTATAAAAGATACAGTAGACGGAAAGACCATTAGACATCACGCGACTACCAACTGTAATAGACCAGTGTTGGAATATGGACCTTCAACAAAGAAAACGACGGTTATCATAATCTAAGCGTGTTGTAAACCGCAGTAAAAAAAGAAGCGTTGTTGTAAGGTCTTTCTACGCAACTAGGAGGCAAACAAGAAGACGGATCTCCTGGTGGTAGCGATCAGCGCCGCTCATGGACACCTGCAGCAACATCAAAGAAGTAAGAGTACCTTACGCTCCTTTTTTTAAATGTCATGGTCGTAAAATTTCAGTTCGAAAATGCTGCTGGCACCTTTCGTTTTGCTGTGTGAGACAGAAATATTAGGGAAATTTCGGTCTTCGGCGAAGACCTGATTAAGTCTTCGCTACTCAAACTCACGTTTTAGACAAAAATAGCTATTTTTCTTTCTGATATAAGCACGGCTTTTGCTTCAATGGTTTTCTGCTTTCACTCTGTAAAAAAAGCAAAGGTTTTTTAAGTAGGTATACAATATCACGTATGCTGCCACATTATACTGTACCGTCATAACACATTAAACTTACCGAAGGCCGATTTAAATTAATTATAAAATCTTAATATCTATGTAAATAAAACTCAACGGACAATTAAGTCATATTGTTTATTTATGTGTTCCAGTTGCGTCCCATTTCCAAAACAAGTTTTATGTTTCTCAAGTTTTTTTTTCGCACAAAAACCGTAAAATTTTGAGTAAAATAAAGAGTTGCTTATCATACATATTAGCATTATACCTACATATTTGAATAAAATTCTCACATTATTTAGGCAGTCTGTGCGTTCAAATTTAAATTTCGAACGATCGAATGTCAACAATTCTATCCGCATTAATGTTTTTATTGTTATAATACCAACTTTATTGTACAACAACACTGGCCTAACATATCAACATACACAAAGTACATTGCTGGTTTAGTTCCTGACTTACATTAATAGTTTCTTTAATGAGAAACATAAACGTTAATCGACTGTAAAGATCGTATTGCAGTCGTGCCATTACTTTACTGCCCTTGAACTTGTACGTGGGTGCGTTTCGTATTAACGTCGCGTTGAAACCCAGCCGCATTCTCGGCAAATTTTAACACAATATAAAAGAACGTATGTCCTTTATTATGATAAAGAAAAAAGTAACTTAATAAAAGGGGATAAAGTTGAAACTAAGATGTGTACATGCGGTTACGTAAACAAGTTCCAGTTAAAGTTACGAAATAAGAACTGGTTGGTCAAAAATAAAAGAAAACAGACACAACAAAATGAGGGAACGAACGATAAAAAAGATATTAAAATTTCGCATAAAAATTCATATTTTAAGCATTCTCCGAACATTTTATTAGTTTTGTTAAGTATCTATAAACTTTTTCGCGCAAATAGTTATCTTATAAGTACGTATAATAAGGTATATTAATAGGTAACGGCAAAACAGAATTAAGACATAATTTTTTTTTACTTTAGATCGGCAATGGAGGATCCTTCAACAAGTCGAGGTAAAAACACACACCCCACATCTATCCGTGTTTAACTTAAACTTCACGTTCAAAAATGTCGTCGATTGCCTGTGTGCATCGCTTCAAGATTCAACCATTAATTTCAGAAAACATCCTTATGATAGGTGATAATAAAGTATAAACTCAATTACCACAGATAACTTATTAATTTTCTTGATACGTTTTTCAGATAAAACGGTACGTTAAAAAAATACAGCTAGTATTTTTGACTGAGTAACTATTCCTACAAATTTCAAAAAAGGTTGGACAACAAATCACTTTTAGTTTTGCTTTGAAAACTTCAATGTCTGTTCTGTGAACACAAATAGCGTAGACAATTGCTTTTTGTTTGACCCTTTCTGCCGCTAACTTTTATATAGACATTTGTAGTTTTATAGGTTGATACGAAGCGTCTTTTTTTAATACCCACTAAAAAGCCTTCTTCATTTATGTTTTGGTTGTATTTCTTTATTTTGTTAATAAGCAGTAGGTACATAGCGGACAAATGACAAAATGACAAGATTTAAACATTGTTAAAACCTACAGATTACTTCTTGCGTTATTTAAAAATAAAGTCCTCAAAAAGATTTAGTATTTTTGAACGAAAAACAATTAATTCGAACTCGTAAAATGGCGACAATAACTGTAACCGAGTTAATAAAATTAGGTCAATGCAGAAATATTTTTTGCCGCAAAAATGCGGTCCGTTATTCTGCACTGAATTACATAAAAAAGTCAGCTTATCCGGACTAAAAATAGATGCAATGGTTTACACTTGGTCACATCTGTACATTCTTGTTTTTATAAGATAAATATGTAAACTTGTATCATGTTATTTCTAGAAATTTTGGGTAGTTTATCATACGGATCCATTGAAGGTAAATCGACGATCATAGATTACCGCCAAATCGAGAAGTAAAATATGAGTTAGTAGTTAAGGATATGATTTGAGAATTGAATATAGGAGGATGACAGAATAAGCCTCTAGTAACCTCACTCATCAGAAACAACGTTAGCGCTATTTCACGCTGATTTTCTGTGTGGTCGCAATATCAATCCAGTCGAGCTGACCCGTTTGTACAGAAACGTATAGTTCACTTGTTTTTGTATCTGTGGTAATATTTTATTTGTAGGCTTATTACATTTCAATTATCCAGAACTAGAACAATATTTTGATCACTTTTAAACTTTAGTAGGTAATAAAAATTGAAGCTTCATGTCAACCTATAAAACAAACAAAAAGCAATTGTCTACGCCATTTGTGTTCACAGAACACACATTGAAGTTTTCAAAGCAAAATTTAAAGTATTTGTTGTCCAACCTTTTTTGAAATTTGTAGGAATAGTTACTCAGTCAAAAATACTAGTTTAAAATCACATACATACATTACCTAAAAAAATGGCAGTCCTTTTTTCGGCAGTCATGTATGATGATCTGACTCTAGGTGATCTGTTCCTAAAACGAGTGAAAACACTGACTTCTGTTACACAGGCCTTATCTCAGGAGACAGAGCTTGTAATGTAAATATACAATATTTTCAAAGTTTTAATTATGTTCTTATTAACAACATTACAAGTTAATGAGTCCGTATAATAATTATAATTCACAGACACAACAAAAAAAAAAACAACAAAATGGAATATGTCTATTTGAAATGAAAATGTATTCCTTTTCATAATTAGAACAGTAGGTATTAAGGTAACCTTTGTATAATTAAATGTTTAATATACATAATTAAGTCGATCAGACCCAATGTTTAATTAAGTCGATCTTCGAAAACTAATCTCCAACACTGCTAATTACGCAAACATGGAACTACATAATTTGGTTCATAATTTGTACTGTGAATGCTCACAAAAAAAAGTATAAATATGTTTTTTTTTCTAATAAGTTGCAAAGTCTCTTAATAAAAGAAACCGGCAAAGTGCCAAGTTGTATCAGAAAGTATCGACGCAAAAATGAGCCCAACAAGGCTGATGTTCAGCCGGGGTTGCGGGGTAAGCGCAATAAGGCACCGCGACCTCGGTCCAGAGCAAGAGAAATAACAGGGGGGTTTTTAGTCAGTAAGAGTCTGACAATGCCTCTAGCCCCACACAAAGCGAGAAAAGTCAGTTTAAAAAAATAAGTTTAAAAATTATTGCACCTACTTAGTCACATTTTTGTTCATCACTATACTACTACGTGTTTATATAAATAAGTAACGCACCTTTCGGAATCTCTTTTGTGACGTGATTTATCCAACTGTCATCAGCGGTCATCTTCCAACTGATAACTAAACTACATTTAATTGGCAAATTATTAACAGCAGCTTCAATATATTGTCTCCAGATTCCACCAACAACGGCGGCACATCGCCGGTTCATCATCTCAAAGGACTTCCACATCACCCCAGCGTCGCAATGTTGCCGCTCCGAAGCTGGCTACATCTGCCGCACGGCCCTTCAACGAGATCCCAGGACCGATCGCCTTACCTATGCTGAGACATTCAGCTCATGTGCTGCCTAGAATTGGTTAGTCACTTTTTTTGTAATAGAACCTCAAACGAACAGAAGGATCACCTGATGGTAAGCTATCGGCGCCGCCCATGGACATTCTCAACATCGAGGAGTTTCAAGTGCGTTGATGGATTTTTGAGGGTAGATAAGAAAGGGATTAGTAAAGGAAAGACAGGAAAGATTGGCCATCCGGCAACCACACTCTCACAGTGAAACACAATGCTTGCATTGTTTTTCGTCATACTCAGACATGATACGATATTTTTCTATTGTTTTTTCGAAGTACAAGTAGTAGAGTATACCTGTATATTTGAAATGGGAGCACGGGCGCTGGTTAAGACGAACCATTTATTTACCTACTTTCATCACGAAGTTTTAACTATTAACTTTTTCTTTCTTTATTTATTTTCTTTAATGTACTCATTTGACTACAACTTCAAGATTACTTAGTGAAACTTCATTGCCTTTACATAATAATGTAGCAAGAGTATCAAATAGCCTAATTGGAGGACTAAGCAAAGAAATTATTCTATATAGTATATCACAGTTTGAAGTAAACTACGGCTGTTTACGGGAGCAATGCCCGCTTGTCACGCGAACTGGCCTCATTCAGACAGTTTAGAAAGTTCTTTTTTCAAAAAATATTGTTGCTATTTGTAGGCTAATTAAAAATATTCTGGTAATTTGAAATTCGAAAGTCTTTGTTTTTTTTTTAAGCAACGTATTTTGATTATTAATTCAACCAAGAAAGGCATAATACCAGAATGTAAACCAAAGACTAGAAAATAAGAATAGATAATAAAAGTGATTACAAACATACTATTTACTAATTAGACCTACATCGTGGGTTCTTAGAATTGGAATCTGGTCACATTCTAGAATTCAAATGAATCTTATATTGGTATGCCCCTATCTAGTTTATAACGTAAACATTACTGACATTTTAAACCAGATAAGTTTAATGGTCTATGTATTAATAGACCAAAATGTGTAATAGTCGAATCAAACGTCAAACTAGAAAATTAAGAATGAAAAACGAAATCGTCAGGATTCTTTGATTTGGCAGGTACTCGAGAAAAAAAAATAAAGTTCGAACATCGGTAAAAAGAAAGTTTTAGTAACATGGGTTAAGATATGTAGTCCTAATATAGATGGTACAAATCGCATGAAAATCCGCACGTTGGTTTTTAAATTTATTATGAAAATATATACATACGCAATAAGCGAGTTTCTTATATAATAGTTGGTCAGGGTTAAAAAATACATATACCTAGTTGACATAAGAACATCATATAATATATATGTATTAATATATATTATATGATGTTCTTATGTCAACTAGGTATACATTACTGACATTTTAAACCAGATAAGTTTAATGGTCTATGTATTAATAGACCAAAATGTGTAATAGTCGAATCAAACGTCAAACTAGAAAATTAAGAATGAAAAACGAAATCGTCAGGATTCTTTGATTTGGCAGGTACTCGAGAAGAAAATTAAAGTTCGAACATCGGTAAAAAGAAAGTTTTAGTAACATGGGTTAAGATATGTAGTCCTATAGATTGGTCCAAAGCGCATGAAAATACGCACGATGATTTCTAAGATTAATATGAAAAGATATACATACGCAATAAGCAAGTTTCTTATATAAGTAATAATTGGTCAGGGTTAAAAAATACACGTACCTAGTTTACTTAAGAACATCATATGTATTAATATACATATTATGATGTTCTTTTCAAGCAACAAACAGCTCAAGTCAGCGTGATCATGAGTCAGAAAGGTTCAATTACACATCGTAAACATAATATGTTATGTATACGACTACTTACAGCATAAATAAATCCAACTAAGCAATAACTAATCTTCTTATAGGTTAACTCCTTAGTCAACAATTTAATAATCAGCACGGCTCGTGCACGGAACATAGAAATAGTTCAAAGGTCACGACTTCGAACTAGTATTAACTAGTTCAAGTGATAACTGTTCCCCTGTTGCATAATAACGACCCATATCCGTAGTATGGTTACAGGAAATAATGAAAAATACGTACCTAATAGTGAGGATTGCGTAATTTTTTTTTCTGTTATGATAATTGTGTGGTGTTTTTCTATTTGTGGAGAAAATTGTAGAACTCCTATATTCTGAATTTAAATATTAGTTCAGGTAAATATAATAAACGGTGTTTTTTTTTATTTTGCCGTAGAAACATTCTCCGTGTGAGAAGTTCTCTTTGCTCATTAGGGGGCACTTATAGATTAGCTGGCGATGGATGCTGTAAGAGCCTTCTAATGGCTTAAATTACTAACCAATGTTATGCCAAAATTTTTAACATAAAAAATCGTTCGTCTCCATGCGAATCTACAATTTGGAACGAGCACCTAGCTTCTCTGGCGAACAGACTGACAGACTAATAGACTTTTCAAAAGTACCTATTTATGTAATTGGAATAAATGATTTTGACTTCGACTTTGTTTTTTATGCAAAACAAAATGTGTGTCTCCTAATAACTATTGTATTATCTGACTAACTTGTCTTTGTAACAACTTTTGATTTTAATTCACTAGCATGTTCATCCTACCCGAGACATGTTAAAACTTAATTTTTAACAGGAGGCTTATAAAATAAATCTAGGATGTGGTAAACATTTAATCAACCAGCAGGTAGAGGTAGTGTTACCGTATAATTTACTCTTGACGCACCGTTATGTTATGTATGTATGTATGTATGTATGTTGTCATATATTGCATTCTTGCATATTATGCATTATACCATGGGTATTTATTTAAGTATTAGTGTATAAGTAAGGCCTTGACACAAAAACAAATGCAATGCGGCTCCGGCCTGGAGCAGGAGAAGGAACGGGGTGATTTTAGTCAGTAACAGTCTGGCACATTCGCTCGCTCCATTTGAGGCGGAAAATGTAATGAAATTATTTTCCTACTTCAAAAAAAAAAACAAATAGAAAACAAAATTGGAGCAGATGAAGGGATCAGGGTGACTTTTAACTTGTAACACTATCTCTAGGATAGGATAACAGGATGTTTATAAACCCTCAAAAAAAATTATTACCTTATCACTTAACCGTTTTGCAATAGTCAGATAAATGTTATCTGATGGTTGAAATTGTTGCTGTCACTTTCTTAAACAAACATTCTGACGCGACAGCATCATAATTTTTTCTTGGATAACTTTTATCTAACCATTGAAAAATCAGCCCTAAATGAGAAAAGTTTTTTTTGTAAAATCCCAACGTCCATCTGTCTGCCACGAAGTTACTAAACCAGAAATATAGCTGTTCAAAAAATAGTCAACAAATCATCCTTAAAATAAACTACCTATCTCATACCAGAAGTTCCCAGACTAGGTCCAGTATAGCAAACACGTAACTGGTTCCATAACTTCAAGTTGACTTAAAATAAAACCAAGTTTCCAACCCGTTTTATGGGAAAAATTCGCATCCTTTTACGGTGAGTTGGCGCATGCGCGGTGAGCCAATGCGCCGGCGCCGTCTGGATTGCGTCTCATAGCTAATAAAATTGCAATTACATATTATATGCTTAATATAAAAGAGGCCTAACTCAAAAAGAAGGTATTTCAATCATAAAAAAATATGTTTCATTAATAAGGTTTAATTTTGAATACCTACCCTCTTTTATGACTCTTTCTGTTTAATATGCGAATAAATATTGACCAGTATTTTACTTTTAAATAACTTGGCAATGTGTAAAAGAGATAGAATATAAATTAATTGCTCTATTGTTTAAAAAGTTATTTGTTTTTATGTTCAACATGGGTAAATTGGTTTTAATCATGCGTTTCGGACGTGATAGAAAATTACCTTTTGTTTTATGTTTTATTAGTTACATTTTTAATTTGTTTTATGGCATAGGTCGATAACCCTTACATGGTTAGCAATCGACAACTCAAAATGAACATCTACAGCAACCTAGCATAAATGCGTTGCCGGCCTTTTGTGGATAGGATTTGATTATAATTTGGGGATTGGGCCAACTGTAACCTTAGTCAGCCGAAGAAATACAACGCTATCGAAATTTGACGCCGGTTTTCCATAGAGCCGTGGTTTCACTTCAGTCAAGTACTAGCACGGCCACAGAGAAAACTGTAGTTAAGTAATTATAATGATTGTGAAATAACGATATTGACGTCTTAACAGGAAGAAATCAAATGAAACATCTCTCGCCATAAATTGATTTATGATTATTTCTACAGGAAAATTCTCTTATATTTATAGTCCTTTCTAAAGGAAAAAATACTATTAACTTCTTTTAGGTACATTATTCAATGTCATAACAAATCTTATATTGATAATTAAATATCGATATAATTCAAAGAAACCTTTTCAATAAAGATACTTACATATTCCTAAACGATTTTCAATTATAGCAGAATCGACAGCCGAGTCCTAATTGTATCGAATCAATTAGAGTTTAGGGTGAATGACTTCTTAATTGTATACTTCAGAGATCCAAGGACTAAGGACAAGTACAAATAGTCAGTATCAATTATAATACCTAATTTTCAAATGCCTTTTCATTTTTATCTTATTGTTTTGTAATTAGGCTGACTTCTTTCTGTTCTATTAACCAAATATTGTACTCGGAGGACAAAGATTTTTGTCAAATGACAGGGTTGTAAATGAAGAAAGTCAAGTACTATTTTAAATGAATTAAAGACATGGGAGCCTCGCTAGGAGAAGTTCACAGCCTTAGAAGGAGACTATTAGTAGAAAAATAGCGAATTTTAAAATACAAAAAAACTTTATTTATGTTTTCTTCTTTGGCTAGGTTAGGCCGGAGAGGTTTTAGACCACCTAAGTTTATACATATATAGATTGTTGACTTTGAGAAAGCTTTTTGTATTAATTAAACGCATTGCTGGTACAATGGAGTAGCTTTCAGCTCGATGAGAATTAACTTCATGTTTAAAAGCTTTGCCCTCTCTATACTTTACTCCGGTGTCGTGGGTGCGTTTAAAAATATACAATTTCATATAACATGACACTCAGACCGGGAATAACCATTCGTGGGTCACACAAAAAGTCGTTCTGTGTGGGAATCGAAACCCAAACATGTTGCCCAGGATGCATAGCCGCTTAGCAGTCAAAATGAATAAACTACAGATCTTAGTTAATTGGAATAAATTTGAGTGCAAACTTAAATAAAGGTTGTTGTAAATAGGGACTCCATTTTAAAACTTTTCCAGATTTCCCTGTACTCTAGATAAATTAGTCACATTTAATTTAATTAGACAGTATTACGGCGAATTATTTGTAAACTTGGAAATGTTTAACACTTTGTTTGTGTGACTTTAAAATTAGTTGTACTATTTTAAAGTTTCTGAACATCCCCGTTTAAACGGACTTCATAAGAAAGGAGGTCTTGTAATAAAAAGTATAATAACATAATATAATTATGTAACTTGCAGTAGTGACACGATAGATTGTCGTAAAGAAATTATGGAGTTTTTTTTTATAATTCAGAAAAAAAAAATGCCATTTCCCACTATTTATTTTGGCAAAACATGTTAACACTTATAATTAATATAACGCCATTTATATTTATTAGAGAGGTATTTTAGATTTATTGATTGATATTACTACAGATTTCTTGATGAAATTCAACACACTTATCTAAAAACGCACAATTTTAACTCACAAAAATGTAGGCAAGTAAAGAAGTATTAACACACTTAAATAATCCAATGAATAAAACCGAAATCGTACAAAAGATCCTGCCAAAACTAATCGTAAGAAAAAGAAATATTTATCCTTTTCTTTCAAAGACTTAACATCTGCGCGTAATTCTCACTTATCTAGATATTCTAGGCATTGTACTTTACGTGTTTCTTAGGATTTATGTAACATTATCGAGCCTAAATACCAATAAATCTAAGGTGCCAGACCCAGACGTACTTTCGCTCTTTCCAAATATAGACTTGGACCTACTTTCCTATCCAGTTTATATCGTTTAAGCTGTTTCATACTAGACTTGTTATTCTAAGTAAATATTTTTAGTAAGTTTGATAAACCTTGTGAACAATTTTTTGTTTTTTATTTTGTTTCACGGTTTCTTTTTGGTCGGCCGAACTGTGTCGAATAATGTGTTATCATAACCTACATACATGAATGTTGCGGGTGCGAAATGTGACTTTTTCCAAGTTATATCAAGTTTGTTAGGTTATTTTCAATAATAAGCGACGAAGCAATACGTCGTCATGAAAATTAGATTAATGTGACTATTATTATTTTGAAGTTCGAAATTTATAATACACCGTGAGCAAAGGCAGTGATTAATGCTGAAATCTTCTCTTTGTTAGAAAATGCCTTTGCCTAAGCAGTGGGCACTCTAGTTTAAAAAAAAAACTAGAATAGAAAAGATGTCGAATTAAAAATGTTTATTTTATCGAACTTATGTTAGCAATTAATAAAAACTGCCATTTAATGGCATTCCAAAAATTTATCAGTAAACGTTTCATTATTCCTCTAAACTAAACCATATCCAGAAAATATTAAAGAACAAATTCAAATGTATTATCCAAATTCAATTATGCCGCTCAATAATCAGTCACGTATAAACATTTCCTAATTTTCGTGTTCGATATTTAAAACGGATTCTTTGTTTAAATGCCTCTTGAAGGCCAGTTTTTATGAACAGATTCGGTTGAATGCTAATGCTACCAACCTGAATATTTTAAGTGACGCATCTGTCTATCAAAAGAGGAATGCAAAATAGTGACTAACTAATTTGTACCATATGTAGTATGTAATAGAGTGAATTTTTTTCTTACAAATATTTCAAGCAATGAAATAATAAATCCATCTGATCATTCAAGCACTTCTGTTTGCAAAAGCAAATCCCTAGTTTTTAAATATGCAAATTTGCACCTTACCTTATACTAATTAGAGTGTATTTTTCTACCACAGGTAGTTACCACCATACTGTTGGACTGGGTTTACTGGAAGGTCTTCGCGATAAGTATGGAGATTTGGTGCGACTGGCGAAGGCTTCGAGAACAAGGCCTGTTCTGTACGTCTTCGATCCTGAGATGATGAGAGAGGTGTGTTTTCATAGTCTTTAAATTGTATTTTACAGTATATTTTAAGTTGTTAGAAAAACATCATACTTACCCATTAAATGCACAAGAAGACAATATTTTGATATTTAACCTTGCATGATGAACTCCAATGTACTCTATCCAGCAAAGTAAGTAAACGCTATTAATGAAAAAAAAACTTTGTAGATTATTCTAATATTTCAATAAAAAAAATATACAATTCCTCAAGTAAAAAGAAAATACAAAAAAAAAATCATAAACCGAATCCGAATTTTTAATTCCGACGTTCCATTCTCAATTCAAATTTACTACAGCCTCTATGGACTTTGCGCAAACAGCAAAAAAATAACATCGACTTTGTTATTTCCTGCACCTAGTTTAATCAATCCAATATACTCGTATAGTGTTACTTAATATGCGTACAACTCATAGGTACAAACATGCCATTAATACACTACTACGCAGTTTAGAGCAACCATGACTGACCATGGACCACGTGACTTCTATTTACTTTATTAAATAGGTACCTACAGAATACCTAGACTTTTCTAGATCTGGTCTATCTAACAAACTACGCACTAAACGTAACACTGATTATTGTCAGCATCGATATAACATAAAATTGATACACTAAATCTGTTAGCTAAGCGCTAATCTCGAGAACGGCTGGACCGATTTCATTAATTCTATTTTCGTTGTGTTTGTCATGATAAGGAGTCACCAAGCCAGTCCAACATTTCTACCTAATCAATAAGATTTCAACTTTGATCACATAATGACTTCTATTAAGAATTTAGGGAGTCTGACACTCCAAAAAACGATGACATTCGCGCATGATTTTTGCTTAACGTAGGTACGAGCATAATTGGAATAGTTTATCAGATATCTTCGATCTTTCCATTTATCTTTATAAACACGACCAAGTTTATAAGTTGATAAATGTACTTAAACTTAAAAAAAAAAATATAAATAAATATATATTTTTTGTAACTACACTACACTACACACTACATTTCAAAACTACCATGAATGTGGCCGCGTGCATTTTATCAACATATGTATATGCCACGTGATGTTAAAAAAATTTAAATATTATGCCAAATTATTAAATGTTATTATGGACTAGTTTGACAACAAATAATGAACTTTATATACATAGGTGCTAAATATAAATTCGAAGCTCCAGTGTCGCAAAAAATTATAATCGGTTACTACTTTTTTTACATGTGTTATGTAAATATGAATAGGTCGTATCTTTGTCAGTTGAAATGAATAATTCTAAACGTGATTAACTTTTTAAAACAAATTAAGTGTGGGAGAGCCATGCTTCGGCACGAATGGGTCAGCTTGACCGGAATGATACTACGGCCTCACAGAAAACCGGAAAAGGAGTTACTTCAAATGCTGTCGCCTTTTCTGGCTTATTAGGGATTCAAATATAGGAAATTTGGTGATGTAAGATTGGGGGAAAAGAGACCTCCGGTAACCTTACACATACATTGAACCACAAAAGTTGTTTCTCTCCCAAACTTTTCATTCAGTATCCACACAATCTTCATTAGTCTTATTCATCCCATTCATACATGATATCTACTTATATCCATCACCGCTGTAACCAAAACTATACAAAATCACAAAGACTTTCGAATTACCTAAATTTAGAAAGTTAAAAAATAATCCCGTCTTGTTACAGAAGCAATACTCGTATCCTAGTCAAACTCGTTTCGAGGTCACTCACTGAACGGTAAATTCATATTAACGTATTCACTTTCAAAATTATTCACGTGACGAGTTAGTGACCTAGACATAATATACATATATCTAGATGTGAGAATTTGTTATTTGCGAAACATATTGTTAGTACATACTTGACTATCTTGACATAGATAAAAAACTTGGGATAATACATTTATTATGTGGAAGAGTCATGCTTCAGTTAATCAACTTAATAATGTATACCTGTAATCTGTATGTGAAACTGATTTAAGAAGGGTAACTATGGAGTTTCTTACTCGTTCTTCTCCATTTAAATCTACATTTGAGAACAAGAAAATAGCTTCACTAAGAGCCGACAGGCTGGCACTTTTTATCTTTACGCTTTATTTGACGTTTAAAAGTGCCTGTAAGGGTCTAATTGAGCCGGGGTTGCGGGTTAAGCGCAATGAGGCACCGCGACCTCGCGACCCGCGGGGGGTTTTTAGTCAGTAAGAGTCTGACACTCTTTCTCGCCTTACCCTGGACGGGAGAAGTCATTGGATGATTTTCCCCTGACAAAAAAGGGGTTTACTTGAATGATTTTGACTTCGACTTTGTCTTCAAGTGCTGCTAGGACGGTTCGACCGGATTGATACTACGGCCTCACATAAAACTGGCGTGAATCAATGCTTGCTTTGCATTACGCTGGATTAGTGATGTTATTGGAGGCCCAATCCTCTTCTCCTCATCCCTAATGTCCAAATCTCAAATCCCCAATCCCATTGAAAGGCCGGCAGCAAAACGCTAAGTAAAGCAAAGCTTTCCATCTCGTGAAAGGAGTGTTTGTCGCCTCAAATCATTGTGAGATCATAATTATTAGGTTTTATGATAATTAGTTAAATTAATCCAACGTGTTTTCTGTGTTATTATTATGTAACCTTTTTTAAGGCTAGTTCACCTATTACAAATTAACAAAAATATCTGCTAATATCCTATGTACCTACCATAAAACATCATGGCATATCTTTTTTTCTGTACACAAATGTGGACAACTTATAATTTACTCTAGTAACTTGAATTCAGTAATATCACTACGCTTTAAGACGGACTATATCAGACCCATCTTTTAAATAAACGAATAAAACGTCCCACACGTCCGCCATTTAAGACATGTTTCCAAATTGAGCCATCCATTCGCAAACGAAGCCGATCCAAAACGTATCTTTCAGAGCTTTCCAAATGTATTAAAGTGAACTCATGTGGCTCAAACGAATGCCACTTTAACTAATAGATCTTCAAGGCTTACAAGGCTGGAGAAGTAAAGTTTAACTTAAAATAATACTCGTAGACATCTTTGGCTCTCTGCTAAATATTTATGATTTTGTTAACATGATCTCTTCCCTACGTCGTGGTGGTTCGAAGGCTAAGGCTTCTCATGCATGAGGATGTGGCTTCAATACCTGACAAGTGCCAATGTGACTTTTTCCAAGTCATATGTACTTTCTAGGTTCATTTAGACACATACGGTCAATAGACACATCATGAGGAAATATGGACTTAAAATTTGTAATTATACGTTTTGAAATCTACAGTGTAATTTATAAGCATGTTCATTACAAATATACACTTACATAAAAAAGTGTAGATTTATCACCTTCCAATATTAAATATAAACTATATTTCCAAATAATGGTCATGTGTCAGCAAGCTGATCTTCATAAATATATTAGATGTTTTAAGATCTTTATTTAAAAAGAAACGTCAAAACAAAAGTGCCTTCTTAACATAAAGAAAGAATAGAAAACACATATAGGTAAATATTTTTTTCATTATCACCGAACTATTAATACAAAACGGTAATATCTATGACGCACGCAAAGGTCAGTGTAATTATACACAATAGCACACAAACTAACATTATCGAACGAAATGTAAGGAAATAACATGATTACCGAATTTGTGTGAAGTTTCATAAACTTGTGCTTATAATACAATTATTTATGTTTAAGTGTTTTTAGCCTATATTTTTATAGTCACATCAGGAAGGAGTTATTAATAAGTTAAGTAAGTTAATCTGGTTGTTTTGTCCGCTAGAGGACGCCATATTAGATTTTGTGATACCTCATATAGTCTACAACCAGCGGACAATTAAGACGTTTCTAATGATATGACACATGTCGAATTGGGTAGTGTCCTAGGACAAAAATAAATTAATTCGACGTTTTAATACAATAAAATATTGAAAATTAACTATACTTTTATTCATCGATCGATCGATACACTAAGTTTTAGATTTTTTTAGCTCATTATTCAGAAATAAGTAAGCTATTTGACGCAAAACTGTTATGACGTCATACCTCAGTTTTTCATAGAAAAGTATCGTTTTTGACATTTGGATAAAAGTATTGAATTTGACTAATTGGAAACTACCGTATTCTGATAAGGAGTTTAGAAGTTACGAAGGAAAAGATGAACATACATACATACATAGCCTGTCAAAAATCATAACCCTCCTTTTCCTTTGCGGTAGTCGGGTAATAAAAAAGTCAACTAGTTCACTTCGAATCGCCTTTATTGATAGTCGGTTAAAAGCGGTAAACATCTTCATTGTCGTCCATTATTACGTAGCACTTGTAAGGCATTGTATAGCCAATAATTGCCTGTCAAACGGACATGTAATTCTTATGCAACGAATAACATAATAATTATGAGGAATGCATGATGATAAATGAACTAATGAATCGTACATGCGTCGTTTATTGCAGTGTGCCTAGCACGAACATTATCGAGAAAGTATTCGTATCGAGATCGAAAGCATTTTCTATGGGATTTGTACAGCGCCCCTACCGTGCGTAAAAGGAACTAAAAATCGCAAGCACGAATGATTTTGACAACTATCGTATAGTAATCGTATCGTGTTGCTATCGAAACTTAGAACATTTTGACACAAATTGGAAGCACGAACGATCTTTTGACGTATAGTAACGTAAGTTTCGAAGGCGGGCTATCGAAAACTGTCGAAACATTTGTCACTAAGAATTTGACGGTGAGAAAGGTTTCGAAATATTTCAATCGTGTTTTAAATAATATATTATAAGGTTTGTGAGTATTCTTTACGAGTATAACATCATGCAAAACCACCGCTGTACGAACCAAGTTGGAGAAATAGTTTATTTGTGGCTATTTTACTTGGAGATGAAGAGTCAAGAGAAACTTCGTAAGTACCTAAGTACCTACCTATTCAAGTTATGTTTCACTTAATATACACATATGTATTCAAGAAAATAATACGAATTAACTGATTATTC